CTCCCTCTATACTACTTCGTCGAGTTTCATGTATCGATCGACAAAAAGAGAGAAAGAGAGATGTATATACGTGAATTCTTTTTATACTTTTAAGTTGCCTTATGTTGCTGCAACTAATGTTACACAGTTGACGATGATAAATAATGTGACGATATATATCTCTAGATACATTGCAAGATACAGTGTAGTGATATTTTTGATAATTTTTAGTCTTTTGTTAAGACGCTCATAAATCGATTTTTGATTTATTTCTCGACTTGTAGTAAAATATCCTTCGCAGCATCGATTCTCCTAGCTACAGTAAAGTTAGAGATTCTCTGTCTCTGTCCATATCTTTGCCAATTTCTAATTTATACATTTTACTATAAATAACGCCAAGTGTGTTTATTTATTCCACTAGATCTGTGAATTTATCCGCTTGTAATAAGCTATGCCAATTTACAGCTGCCAGACAGATGTTATTTAACGCTCGATATATTCGCTCATTCTCCCACGCATTTTTTAAACGCAACATCGGAATTGTTCGCTCGCAAAGATCCACTTGAGATGTCCCTCTTCATACGAATCCATTCCGTTCAATGGAATTGGCGCCAAGCATTTTACGAGCATGCGCGCACGTCACCGCGCGTAGTCGGCATGGGACTGTTGTGCGTCGACCTTTACCTAACAACCCTCCCGCATTGTAGCCACCTCGCTTCCTCTCGCTGCAACCACCGCGGCAGCCACCCCCGTCGCCAACCCTGACCTGATTTATGAGATTCTCGAAGCGTCTACTCTACCGACGCGCGTTTTCGGTCTCCCTCTTTCTCTCGCCCTTCGTCTCTCTTTCTCCCCCACCCTTCTGCCGCAACTTAGGCAGCTGGCTAGTGTTTCCACGAGCACATGTATACGGAGATGCTCTCGCACGTGGAGCAAGTGGAATTCTCGCTGCGTTTTGTTCATTTCCGTCCCTTTGTTCGCGCACTCGCGAAAAGCGGGAACTTATTTCGGTGGAACGCGATATGTATCGAGAGCAGCGTCCTAATTAGTCGGGCGACAGGCCCTCGATTTACGCGAACCAGATACAATTGCTTTCGCATCTTATCAATTTACACGCGCAAGTCAACATGTACCGGAAATGTAGTTGTCTTTCAGTCGGAATGATTAACGCTCACTCGATCGTTTCGACGATCGAAACACAATGTATTGTTACTTGCAAAACACTTGAAACATTTTATCATATTTTATCTCATTTTAACAATATTATCGCAATATTAATACAAATGTAAATCTGCAAGTTTTGGGCGAAATAATTTCGTCAGCACTCAAATCCAACGTTACATCGTAACAATGCATGTATAATCAATTGTACTCGTAAAAACATTCACACATCTTCGAGGAGAAACTTCGAATCGACCGACGTTAGGTTTTAACGTAGTTAAAACGACGTCGAGTTCAAATGAACTTTTCACAGTAAAAGATTAAACTTGCCTTCGACGGCGTCATGTTCGCTAAACAAGACGAAATTCCGCGGCAAATCCAATTTTTAGAACAATCCTCCGCTTCAACGTTTAGTAGAAATCTCTCTTCGTCAACAAGTAAATTTCCTTTATCCCAGGGAAAGTAAAAAATTGGAGCGAGGGTTGGATGTCACACAAAAGCCGAGTGATTTGTGACGTTCGCCATTCTTTTGACCGTGCGGCAAGGTTCGCCCTTTCTACACCCCCTCTCGCTCGCCCCTTCTCCTCTACGCCGTCTTGCTTGTAGATATGGCCGAGTAATATACGAGCTCTGCATCTGTTCCCCGAGTGACGCAACGTCCCGCCATAGATCACACCCAGGCTTTTAGAGAGTGAAGGCTGTTAAGGAGAGTGCGAGAGAGAGAGAGAGAGAGAAAAAGCGACCGAGGGAAGAAGATAGGGCGAGACGCTACGACGAGAAGAAGAAAGAGAAGGCGAGAGTGAGATTGAAGGAGAAAGAGGAAGGGAAAGAGTGACAGGGTGACGTACTGTTACTGTTAAACTCGCCTGTACGTAAAGAAGAGCATGAGCAGGAGTGCGGCTGCCTCTCCAGCGTGTCCTGGCACGGGGGTGAGAGGATGAGAGGGATGAGGTGGAAGTGGTTGCTAGTGGAAGACCGTGGAAGGTGGACGGAGACGTCGGTGTTGTTGTAAAGGGACGTACAGACTTGGATCGTGGATCAGGGAGACGAATGTAGCGTGTTCCTAAAAACGTGCACTTAGTCGGAACTCATTAACGCGATCGTACCAGCGATTGTATTTAAATTGATCACCCTGATATATAGCGAAGAAAAATGTTGAAAAGTCTTACGCTCTTGATTTAAGATGCCATCCCATCTTCGAATTTATGAAATGCTCGCTGAATGCTTTTCAAAAATATATTTATCAAATATTTTAAAAATATATTTATCTCGATAAACACATATCGATAGAAATATAATATGAATTATATATATATATATTTTTTTTATTACATTTTCAACATTAATAGATTACAAAATAAAATAAATGTAACCACGAAATTATATATGTTTACCATATAGTTAGATAATTTTATTTCGAATGTTTTTACACGGGATGCCAATATGTTTTTAATTTATACGATTATTATTTCACTGATATTCGTGAACAAAAAGCAATTTAAAGAATAACATATCCAATTATAATTACAGCAATATAACTATATCTTCGTATGCCGAAAAGCAATTTACGAAAAGAGGTCAATCAACATCTCTTTCATACGTCAACATTAATCCCAGATAATCAGATCAGACTCGTAAACATAATATCGTGCAAAAGCGGAGGAGGAAACTTATTCACTCGCGTTACACACAAAACGAATGAATAATCCAAAGAAAATAAGTAACCGTCTCGCATTCAGCGTTCGAAGAGTATTATAGTAAATCGGTACAAGTTGTGAGCGATATATCGCCCGAATATGGGTTAAGGAATTTTCTCGGCTTGCGTGAAGGGTCGAAGGTGGCCATAGAGGGGGAGGGGGGAGGCAGAGCAGAAAAGGAGGGCGACGGCGGCACGATACAGTACGCCCCTGGCGCACCGACGTAGAAACCATTGAGGCGAGATATACGAGCGAGAGTTTGTTTGCGCTTATGGCCTACGTCTGGAAAAGGGAAGGTAGAAGAGGGGTCAGGGAGAGGGGGACGGAGTTGACGTTTTATCGGGGCACCCTTATGCCTATTATGCCTTCGCGCCGTACAGCACCCCCGCGCCCGACCAACCCCCTCCCCCCACCCCCGTTCGGTGGCAACCCCCCTGCCGGCTGGGTGACGCAGCGTGCGAATTAAAACGCCTCATAAATATCTGAAACAAAGGCGGCCGCTTTCGAGGGCGTACGCCGGAAAGATATACGGCTGGTTACGATGGTCGGCACTGGGGTGGTTAAGGGACGGGGGGTAGGGGAAGAGAGGTATGAACTGCGATGCGGGACGCGATCCTAGGCTTGGCACCCTTTGTAAAAACCCGTCGGGGAGGGTGACTTTCTCTTCTTTCCGAGAATCACGAGAACGTTGCGCCGATTGGAAAATTCGCCATGAAAAAGCGTGGATTTTCTTAGCAGCGATCAGTATTTCGCGGGCAGTATATCATTCATGTATTTAATGTGAGCTATATTGATAAAATCGCACCTTTTTAAATTGAGTGTACGCTGGAAAGTAAATTGAAAAGACAAAATGATAATTATCGTATTATAACATTGGTAGCTTTTTTTAATAATATCAAATAAAATTATAGAAAGTTACATAATACAAAGTAATATATTATTGTACGTTATACAAAGTAAATATATTGGAAAACATTTCTTGATTTATGTTTATTCTCTGTCTTATTTATTTTGTTTAAAGGATAGGTATACATTTTATTTTAACTGCGTAACAGTATTTTTTACGAGCTATATTTTGAATGATATACTGAAGAGATGATGACCGACTTGACCTGTAGTCATCCTTTGTACCTATTTTCTTCTTTTATATTATATTATATAACCTTATATTGTTTTCTAACCGTGACAAAGAATGGAGAAAATATATATGACTTTGGAAAAGCTTCTAAAATAATATATAATACCACATTTTTCAAAAATTATTACGCATTAGGCAATATTTTATATTAACTTACAGACTGTTTCCGGTACATTTTATTGTATGGTCTTTGTATTCGCTTTTGACTCCACACACATTTACACAGATATTATTAAATAAAAAATTATGTGAATAATTGGATATTATGCGATATTATGTGAATTTTTATATATGATTTTGTATTTTTTAATAATTACTGTAATATAATACTGAGGAAGACCGCGTGCGGTTGAAACGTTTATTTTATTATTTTATAATGATTGGAATTTTTTTTTAAGTTTGAGTATTGAATGTTTGTAGCTTTCACATAACGTTTTATGTTTAATAGTTTATACATGGAATAAATTTTATTTAACAGAACAATAATAATTGCTCGACAAGTTGGCCTTTTTATTTATCACATTTTGTATTTAAATAAGAAATTTGTTTAGTAAAGCAAAATTTGGCTAACTTGATTTCTCTCTTCTCTTTTAGGTAATTTTTTCTTAAGTTTGAGTATTGAATGTTTGTAGCTTTCACATAACGTTTTATGTTTAATAGTTTATACATGGAATAAATTTTATTTGACAGAACAATTCTAATAATTGCTCGACAAGGTGGCCTTTTTATTTATCACGTTTTGTATTTAAATAAGAAATTTGTTTTAATAAAGCAAAATTTGGCTAACTTGATTTCTCTCTTCTCTTTTAGGTAATTTTTTCTTAAGTTTGAGTATTGAATGTTTGTAGCTTTCACATAACGTTTTATGTTTAATAGTTTATACATGGAATAAATTTTATTTGACAGAACAACTCTAATAATTGCTCGACAAGGTGGCCTTTTTATTTATCACATTTTGTATTTAAATAAGAAATTTGTTTAGTAAAGCAAAATTTGGCTAACTTGATTTCTCTCTTCTCTTTTAGGTAAGTAGTGGTCTCCGATCGTTTGAAAAGCGAGCGGCTCGGGGCCGCCGCACCGGACGGGAGATATGCGCAGCAAGCAACAGCCCAGGCCTTCTTTCCGATGGCCACAGCAACGCGGTGATAATCTTACCGGTAAATATCCATATGTAACATTTTACGCACGCACGTTTTGCATCTTTATTTTGCAACTTGCATTCTCACGTCTTCGACAAGATACCGTTTCTTCCTGTACCGCATATAGCGGCATATTCACGGAAAAAGGCTAAATCGAAAGCTAAATGATTAATTGCACTTGTGTAAAAACAGTTAGACATATTATATAGTTTAGAAAGTTTATTTATGGTTCGCAACGTGTCTTTATATTATTTCTAAAATAGTTTTATATAAAATCAATTCGGGTTTTTTTTAACTTATTTTTTTTTAGTACACTGTAATGTCAAGTGAAACATGTGCAAGTATTCAAATCTCGATTAATGTATATTTACGTACATTGTTTTAAAATACACATGTGACATATTATTAGTAGATTGTAAAAACAGAACTGATCACTTTTGTGAAAATCAAAAGTAATCAATAATGTAACAGAACGTAAAGGAGGATAAAATCTCTGATGGTAGATCGATTCGTGTAATGCTGAAAATATTGAGAAACGTTTACATGCCGCGGTTAACCGATTATCATCAACGGATCAATTTGATCTAGCTGTAAATCGGATGTTTACGACAGTTATAAGCGAGTAAAAGCGATCGGTAACGTGTTATGGAGATCGATAAACGCGGTCAAGTATTACATCCGAGAATTCTGGATGAACAGGTATCATTGAGGTTTGCTCACATGTCCTTCGATCGGACTTGCCTTGAAAAAACTCAGTAAATTATGATTTCTGTCTCGCATTTTTCTTTCCGTTTATATTAGAACTCGGTGTTGTTTCTTGGAATCTATGCAAAGAATTTATTCTCGTATCCCTAATTAACAAGCATATGAATTAATGAATTAATTAATATCGCGAATAAGATGAGAGAGATATAAAAATCGTAATATACAAGTATTAGATGTACAATGCAATATTCTTAAATGATTTACACGGCTTTCAACTCAGGCTCGCATCGCACAAACGACATCTCATAGTACAACGAATATTATATTTCATTATATTTGTTATTGGATTAACTTTGCTACAGGGTTTACGAATTTACATTTTTACGATTTATTCTCTAAAGTCTAATTAAGATAACGATTTGCATCTTTTTGTCGATTCTATTGTATGACATAGGTGCGCCATAAAGTTAGGACGATTATTAGATAATATGCTTTTAGCTTGTCATTATCTCTTTACTTTGGTAGACAAGTTTATAGGATTATACATATAACGTGTTGATAGTATCTCTAAAAAAACATATTGCTGCGTCATTGGATTGTATGATAGACATCCTGCTCTCAACGTCTCTTGTCTCTTTGTATTAAATTTGCGTGTCTATAACACAAGATATTTTATTTTTCTCATATAAGCATCGGCATATCAATCAACTCGTATTTATTATTCGAATATTGGTTTACACATCAATAATAAATATCAATCAAATTTTCTCTTGCTTTTTTGGCATGTATATGTATTTTCTTTGTTTAAATCCATTCTACATATTTAATATATGTATATCTATATACGTCTGTATATTTAAACATATATAATTTTATTTATTGATTTTAATTATATATAGCAAGAATACATTAACCATATGCACACGATAAAATAGAAGATAATAAATACAGTAACGGTTAAACAAGATATTATTTAAATCTGAGTTGTCTGTACGAATTGAAAAAAAAAACTAGACAAAAAGAGAGCAACTGGTCGAGTCTTTTTTAAATGTAAATCCGACGTAATACATACGCGCGTACACGTAATTCTGTGCGAAAGTCAGTAGCTTCACAAACATCGAATTGCTGCGACGAGAAAGTAATTAGGGAGACAGAAGAAACTAATAAATCGAACGATTGATCGAAAGCGGTATTCGGCTGCTCAAAGGCAAAGACAATCCAAACTAAACAACTGGTTGACTCGTCTCACTTGCAAATCCAACGTGACGCCGTAACTCATTACGTCGCCTGAGCGTTGTCTCGAAATGGAGCCGCAAAGCGATAACCGGGTGACTTTTCTTGATTTATCTGCGTTGTGAAATAAGGTAATCAGCTTCGATTTCTCAAATCGCAAACCCTGTCAAAAATCTGCGAATTATCGTGAATTAATTTAAAGCGATTGCGAATCAAAGAATTAATTTTTATATTGGTATTGGAACACATTTTTTTCACAGAGAGGAAAAACGATCATATTACGGCCATGAAAAGTTATAGTAATAAAACCTCGAGTAAAGCATTAGTGAGTTATTTGTTATTAATTCTTGGTTACATTTACATTTTAAGTAATAGTAGTCTACACGTAAATTGCATATGTTTGTAGTAATATCTGTGTAATGTTGATAATTTATTTTTATTATGCTCGTATGATTATTTTCATCTTTAGATGACATTGCTTTTGTGAAATACGCAATGTAGAAAATAGGGATACCCGTTCAATCTAAATCAATTATCGAGACACTGTCTCTGTGTCATTTCTCTATTCAATTAATTACGTACTACGATGTTCCGTGATAAATAGATCCTGTGTCTATAATAAATTTATTTGAAAAATTCAAGCACACTGTATATTTGTACAATGACATGATGGAATGTGTGTCGGATTGTTCTCGTCGAAATCTCTCATATTTTCCAAAGAGAATTTTGGCGCCAGTTGGAAAGGAATCAATTGTTTTCAATCTATATATTCCTACGAGATGCAAATCTTACGGGATATAAGTATTTTATTTGCAATAAAGCAGTCGACCGGTGCTATTATATTTTTCGCTTTACGATCCACCATGTTGCATTTGGTATATTTATTGCTGACTCCGTAGAAGTTCGACATCTTTGGATGTCGTCAGATTCGAAGAGATTTAGTTGCAACAGTGTCTTGGAAAGTTGGTCGACTTCCTTTGCCGGATATAATCTCGACTAATGTACCTCGCAGTTGAACTCTTTGTAAATGCAGCTCACGAAGAAATTCTCTGCAGACGAACTTTGTAAAGAGATTTTCTTCGCAGTCGCTTTTGAAAAGTATTCGTTGCAAACGTGCTTAACGAAAATATTATTGTCTTTGGTTCGTAATGACAATCGATCAACCGACGGAGCGATGGAATTGAAGGAACATTTACATCGAAAGGCAATTAAGAATAAATCACATCTTTAATGGAATCTTCGTGGTAGCGATTTGTTTTAATTGAAATTCACAAATTTGTGAGACGGGAATAATATCGCGCCGCAGTTTTATAACACTCGTCTTATTGCGCAACATATATATATATATACAATATATATATTTCGCGATTTGCAGCATTATGCGATACTTAAATTTCGAAATAAAGTACACATTTTTTTATCGATCAAAATATCATTTCTGAGAATATGTCTGCTTTTAAGAGCAACATCTTTTAACTTTCTCCGAGCAAATTGCAACTTGTGCGAAATTATTTTTTGCCGCAGTGTTTTTCTTCCCTCTTATCCTTGTCCTCGGTCTTTGCTTGATATTAATTACTTTGGAATTCCGAGCAATGCTTTCAAGGAATACGTCGAACGCGTACGACGTATTTAGAATAATAATAATAATAATAATATTAATAATAATAATAATCATCGGGCGAAACGTATTAAAATGAAACAGGCGGCGAGGAATTTACGAGGCGTATCAACTTTCCTGAGAGATCTCGCGGCGCCCCGGCGCGCACGCATTTAATGGTTAATAATTTTACGGAGACCCGTACCTCCGTGTTGTGTCGTAAAAACGCGTCTCTCGCGGCAGAAAATTAACGTGCTTTAATCAGCGAAATACATCAGAAGATACTTGAAAAGGCCAACTCTCGTACCTGGCTCGATGGTGTCCCACAATCGAGATACAACCGTCGTCGGCGGCGGCAATAAATTTTGCGCGAAACGTGTCATCGTAGTCGCTCCGATAAAAGTTACAAGGACACGATCGGCCGGTTCGGAAATAGTATCGGTGTCGGTTCGAGGGTATACTACGATTCCATCGCGTATATCCTCGTCCATGTACTCTAGCGGGTAACGATGCACCTGCCTGACACACGTACGCGCACATACACACGTACACGTAACATGTATGGCTACACTTTGTATACGTACATACAACAACTCCGTGAAAATTAGCGACGCAAGCCGGGATTTATTGCCACGTGCTCGCCCCAGGCTCTCATCGCCTGGAAAAAAAATATATGGCAGCCGTGTTCATCGCTCGATTATGGTACATTTACCGAGCACGGAAATTCCTCTTTGCTATCGCACCGCAACCGATTGGGGTTATCAGTCATCAGTTGGTACTGGAGTATGAATCTTTTTCCCGTGATTTTTGGCACAAAAAAAAAAGAAACAAGCGAGCTGCTGCGTTGCTTGCAAAAAGATCGTTTTATTTGCAGTTTGACACATTTTAACGTACACAATAGTTTTAGTGAATAGATAAAATAATATAATAATTATTATTATGTTACTATTAATATAATGAAAATAATAACAGTATTTTAAATATAAATACTTTTGTTTAAATAATGAATAAGTATTTCTTTTACATTTTTAATGATAAAATAAAATGACGAAAAAATGTGTGAGACTTAATACTTAATTTACTATTATATACGTATACATCATCGTTTAATGCCATATTTTTGCTATTTAGCAGTTGGGAAAATACATTTTTACTCTTTCGTATCATATTGAAGATAAATTGAAGTGAAGATAAATTAATAGAACCACAGTTGGAGGTTTTCCCGGGAAATCGCTGTCAATCTAGCATAATAATTTATATTTCCGTTGATGTAAATCTTTCTACTTGACAGCTGCAGGCCCAACTTAAACATATCCAAGTGGTGCAACTGCGCTTTCACTTTACAGAAGGCCCATTAATTCTAATTTCGCGTCATTGACGGCGATTTTACTCTTTGCGGTTTTATATTTTTCTCGAATGTCAGTTTCAAACAGCCCACATTTAACTGTTAACTTATCATCGGCTTAATGATTTATCTCATTCA